CTGTCATCTCCTCCCTCTATGATGATTAATACTACTACTACTACTAATAATATGACAGAAAATCTAAAACATGGAACATTCTTAAAAAATTATTGCAAATATTTTCACAAACATTCGATTTCATTCTAATTTTTTTAAATTCAGTCAAGTATCTTTTAATTAATTTCGTGGATGTGAGAAGCATTTTCCGCTAAAAATTAAGTTCTCAATTTTTTTTGACAATTTCTGTGAACTCAAAACCCCCAAAATTCAATAATTACAAAAAATAAAATTATAAAAAAAAACAAATACGAAAATTAGATAAAATAACAGAATACAATAAAATAAATTGGATTAAAATAACAAAATATAGTCAAGAGACCATCTACTGATCAGGAACAATCACTGTGTTACCTTCGATCCTATTCAGTCCACAGGTAGGGTTCGCTTGGTCCGTGACGAGGTGTTTCCTTGGACACACATATATAGAACCATTGAGTAACCCTAACCACGACCTTCCTCTACTCTACGACATAAATACATGGTGGTGGTAATTGTTGTGGTAATGATACTACTTCTACTACTATTATTATTTATGTTGCTATAATTTCTATTAGTACTACTGCTATTATTTCTTCTAATACTATTTTTATTATTATTTATACTACTATTACTTCTATTATTTCTTCTACTACTACTATTACTGCCATTATTTCTACTACTACTATTATTTCTACTAATACTACTGCTGTTATTATTTTTTTTATTTTTTATTTTTTTAAATGGCCTCCAGCCTCCCCCAATAGCCATTCCTTCACCACCATTTTATTACCTTAATATTACATATCCTAATACATAAGTAGCTATCCTAACTGTGTTTAGTTAGTTGAACCACAGATCTATGCGGCATTCAGTGACTGTTGCCTCATAGTCAATATCTGCAACTGTTGTCGGATTTGAGGCCGAAGCTCTCGTTCCCCTGAGGCAGAGCAAAGCCGACCTAAGGAGAGAGAAGGACAGTCGACATCTGATCCAGGCTGTAACATAACTTCTGGGCTGCTGCTTCTGTTCAGATGTTACCTCCGCGGTAGTGAACACTAGAGGAGTGAAGCTGCCTTGATCAACGTTCTGAATTCTCTCCCCATATGCCCTTATCTTGTCGTTCTCGTTCCTCCTGTGTGCCGCATCGAGAGCTAAGTTACGGTGACATGCAGCCATGGGATCAAAGATCCTGATGTCGAAGAAGGCTCACTGTCCCCGCGTCCAGAATCCTCGAGCACTGACGTCAACACGGGCTTCGTTGGATGTGTTTGAAGTCCTATGTTGGAAAATCTCACCGTCCAATGGAAGGAGGGTCGGTTCTACCGTGACATCACTGCAGATTTCCTTCAACATATTTGCTGTGAGATCCCTTACTTCGTCATGCCTCATGCATATGAAGTCCCCTTTCTTGCACACCATGGAGTGATCGGCGTCATAGGAAGAGCCACACACGCATTGGGAGGGCAAACCTTCCACTGGCCTACCGTACCTTAGAGCATTGGCATCTGTGAATTCTTGTTTATTCAGACTGAAACCATTTGCCCTTATCGGTTACGTAGTTAACCAGTTCGAGGCGCCCACCTCCTGCGCTTTAGCTACTTTTTTTTCCAATTCTCTGGTACTTGCAACAACAGCTGCTGCAACTTATCACTTTGGCTGTGCTGTCGTTCTGTCGTAATGGATCTTCGAATCTTGTTTATTTCGCTGGTATCCACCTCCCCTGTTGCGTTCTGAGCTATTATGTGGTCCGTGAGGGCTGCCGTGAGCTTAACTGAGTTTTGATGTTCGGTGGCAGCAATCTCCTCTGGATTGGTCAATCCCATACCTCACAGTCTCGGTGTGTAGTGCAAGGAGCGATCTTTCTGCTGGGGTTAAGTGAGGGTGTTTCACTAATTTGGGAATGAACTTGACACTGATAGCTTCTTCCAGAGGGTGGAGGAGGGGTCCGATATCAGGGATAGTACGCATCAGGTAGTTCCAGCGATGCTTGACTCCATGGGTGAATGCCGCAAAAGCCGCATGTGGCTTTGTGTTAGCAATCTCAGACAGAGCTTAGATTTCCCTAACCCACTCATTCACCTTTCCCGTTACGTACTCGGTATTGAAGTCCTTCGTGCCGATTACCGCACCTAGATGTCTTTGGCCGTCCTTTGTTATTTTGACCTCACCTCCGCCCAACACCTCCATTGCCCGTTCATAATGTTCTGGCTTCACAATGAGGAAGGACTTGCTGTCGTTTGGGTGGTACCCTATTTGTGGGCCTCGCGATGTTACCAGGTCCCACCACTTTTTGATATCCTCCACTTTTCCTGCTTCTGTTAGGCCATCAGCGTATGCCACTTGCTTGACCTCGGTTGTTTCATAATTTATTGTCCTACCACTACTACTATTTCTTCTACTACTACTACTACTACTACTACTACTAACTATAATAATAATAACAACAAAACAATAACCTTCATAACGATAATAATTTTCACAAACCAAAACAAACAATTTAACACAATTTCTAAACTGAATAAAACATTAAAACCAATAAGAAAAACAACACACACAAAACACAATTAAAAAACCACGATAAACAACAATGAATAAAACACAGGTGAACAGACATATGAAAGGTGCTGACGTAAGATGAAGTCTAGGTAATAAGACAGTGTGATTTAACAATACCGTGAGATAATAACAGACGTTTAGGACGGAAATCACATTAAGTTTGTGTCATAATTACTCCCTTGGTGTCAGTTTTTATATAGATGAAGTTACATAAGGCTCCCCAGTGTTGTGTCTTACTGCTAAGAGGGGCAGGTGAGATAGGAGGGGAATTGAGGTGAAGTAAGAGAGAGAGGAAGGGGAAGGTTAAGTGGCATGAAGGACACAGCAGCTTGTGATGGTGTCTTGGGAGATGACCCACTCACCCCCACCACTCACCCCCTCACTCACCACACCCCACCCAACCCACCCAACCAACCCACCACCAACTCCACCCCACCAACCTCACCACCACCCCACCAAGACCTTTCACCCCCACCACCCCACCACCACCCACTTCACCACCACACCACCCACCCCACCACCACCACCCACCCACCACCACCCCACCCCCACCACCACCCCACCACCACCACCACCACCACCCCACCCACCCACCTGAATTCCCACCCACCCACTCCACCACCCCACCACCCCCACCACCACCCCACCAACCCCACCCCACCACCAACACCCCACCACCAACCACCACCCCCACCACCCCACCACCACCCCACCACCACCCCACCACCCACCACCACCCACCACCACCCCACCACCACCTTCATCCCCCCACACACCACCACCCCCACCATTCCCCACCACCCCCACCCCACCATTCCCCACCACCACCCCCACCACCACCCCCCACCACCACCCCACTGACCACCACCACCTACCACCTCACCACCCCCACTCACCCCTCCACACCACCCACCACCACCCACCCACCACCCCACTCCATTCCACCCCCACCCACCACCACCCAAACCCACCACCACCCACCCACCACCACCCACAATTCCCCCCCCACCACCACCCACCCCACCACCCCACCACCTCCACCCCCCACCCACACCCCCCACCACCACCACCCAACTCCACCACCAACTCCACCCACCACCCCCCACTCACCACCAACCCACCACCACCACCCACTCACCACCCCCACCACCCCCCACCACCCCACCCCCCACCACCACACCCCACTCACCAACTCCACCACCAATTCCACCTCACCACCACCCACCACCACCCCACCACCCCCCCCACCACCACACCCCCCCACTCACCACCCCCCACCTCCACCACCCCCCCACTCACCACCCCCACTCACCACCCCCACTCACCACCCCCACTCACCACCTCCCACCACCACCTCCCACTCACCACCCTCCCACTCACCACCCCCCACCACCACCCCCACTCACCACCCCCCACTCACCACCCCCCACCACCCCCACTCACCACCCACCACCCATCAATCTATCTACATTGACCACACCACCATCTACCATCTAATCACTGTTAACCACAATCCACTCTAACACTTCCACCCACCCACCCACTCCACCCACCCACCCATCACCAATCTCTCAGTTGGCAGGTGTTACTGGACCACTGTATCAGTTGTTTTCACTCATTGTTAGTCAGACGCAAACAACTCTTAATTGTCTTAGGAGGATTAACCCAGTGACTAGATTGACCACCACCACCACCACCACCACCTACCACCACCCACCACCACCCACCACCACCACCCACCACCACCACCACCACCACCACCACCACCACCACCACCCACCACCACCACCACCACCACCTCACCACCACCACCACCACCACCACCCACCACCACCACCACCACCACCACCCACCACCCACCTACCACCACCACTACCACCACCACCACCCACCACCAGCTCCACCACACCACCTACCACCCACCACCCACCACCACCACTACCTACCACCACCACCACCACCACCACCACCACCACCACCACCACCACCCACCACCACCACCACCACTACACCCACCACCACCACCACCACCACCACCACCACCACCACTACTACCACCAGCACCACCACCACCACCACCTCCAACAACTTATCACTGCTGCTGCTCCTTCAACCTCCCCTTACATCCATACTTTCTCTACACAAACTCATCATCGAGACACCTTCACCGTGTTTATCAGAAGACCAAAATAAACCTGCCTGTCCCCCATGTTATATCACCGAGGTGTAATAACTACTTGCTCTGAGTAGTGACAAATAACCCATTTCTTATAATCGTTTAAGTGATTTACCAAAAATAAAACTTCCCGATGCAAATATAATGTTCTTTAAACCTAAACACTCTAGAAAACCAGACCTTTAGAGAACAGAACACAGTTTTTTTTTAATTCTTAGGGTTAATAAAGAACAAAGTTTATAGAAGATATTTTTTATTTAGTATACGAAATATATTTATTTTTGTATTTAGTTCCCGATTTACTCATTGGCAGCACTTTACGATGACACTTTCTGCGTCTCTGAAATATTATAGGAATTTGTTAATGTTTTGTTAAGTTGAAAAGATGTGAATGATTTTTGTTGAGTTTAGTAATGTTGATGTTGTTGTGTTTAATTGTTGATGTTGTGTTTAGTAATGTTGATGTTGTTGTGTTTAAATGTTGATGTTGTTTTTAGTAATGTTGATGTTGTTGTGTTTCGTAATGTTGATGTTGTTGTGTTTAATAGTTGATGTTGTTGTGTTTCGTAATGTTGATGTTGTGTTTAGTAATGTTGATGTTGTTGTGTTTCGTAATGTTGATGTTGTTGTGTTTAAATGTTGATGTTGTTTTTAGTAATGTTGATGTTGTTGTGTTTAAATGTTGATGTTGTGTTTCGTAATGTTGATGTTGTTATGTGTTAATATTTTGGGGAGTTGTGAGTGAGATGTTATAATGTTTACCTGTTTAATTATAGGGGTCTATTATTATTATTATTATTATTATTATTATTATTATTATTATTATTATTATTATTATTATTATTATTATTTAGTCATAGTGGTAGTAGTAATAGTAATATGTATTAGGATATTTAATATTAAGGTAAATAAATGGCGGCGAAGGTGTGGCTATTGGGGGAGGCTGGAGGCCACGTTAAAAAAAAAAAGTAATGGTAGTAGTAGTAGTAGTAGTAGTAATAGCGTCTTTATGATTAAAAAAATATAAGTAATAAAACTCACTCTTGCCATCTTGGGCTGCTCTACCATAGCGACCGAATCCACCAAATCCGATGCCGAATCCGCTACCACCAAATCCAACTCCGTCAAATCCACTGCCACCGAATCCACCAATACTTATTCCACTTCCACAGGCAAATCCACAAGAAGATCCACCGCCATGTCCATATCCACCGCTATGGCCAGATCCGCTGCCATAGCCATATCCACCACCTTGGCCATATCCACCACCTTGGCCATATCCGCTGCCATAGCCATATCCACCACCTTGGCCATATCCACCACCTTGGCCATATCCACCATCATGGCCAGATCCGCTGCCATAGCCATATCCACCACCTTGGCCATATCCACCACCTTGGCCATATCCACCATCATGGCCATATCCGCTGCCATAGCCATATCCTCCACTAAGGCCATATCCACCACCATAACCATATCCACCACCATAACCATATCCACCACCATGGCCATATCCACCACCATAGCCGTAGTCACCACCATGTCCAGATCCACCTCCATGGCCACCACCATGACCATTGCCACCACCATGGCCACGGCCACCACCATGGCCATATCCACCATCATAACCGTATCCACCACCATGGCCAGATCCGCTGCCATAGCCATATCCAACACTATAACTGTATCCATCACCATGGCCAGATCCACCACCATGGCCAATACCACCAGCATGGTCAATACTACCACTATGGCCAATACCAACACTGTGGCCAGATCCACCACCATGGCCAATGCTACCACCATGGCTATTACTAACACTGTGGCCAGATCCACCACCATGGCCAATACCACCAGCATGGCCAATACTACCACTATGGCCAATACCAACACCATGGCCAATGCTACCACCATGGCTATTACCAACACTGTGGCCAGATCCACCACCATGTCCAGAACTATGACTAAATGCAACAGCTTGGCCATGTCCAGAAGTAACCCCATGTCCGGAACTATGACTGTGTCCCCCACCATGGCCAGAATCAGGGAAAGGGTGGCCCAGGGTTGTGGCCATGAGGGACACGATTAACAAAATAGTCTTCATCTGCAAAGAGAAATAAAAAACTACTGAAAAGATATTGTATTAAAATTTACAACAAATTATAAAACTGAAATCCATAACAAATATTAAAAATATCGTAATGAATTTCAGTGATTTCTAAGAATCTTTATACATAAAATCAATATAAAAATACATTACCATCTTTAGCATTTGATTTTATAAGACTAATATATACTTAAGAAAAAAAAATATATAAGGCGTTATAAACATTATTGGAACACCCGAAGCAGTTTGTTTACTAACACTAAGTGACGTCATGGTCACAGTTGTATGTGTGTCTGGTGGAGTCAATCAGCTGACTGTAAGGATGCTGTCTCCTCTGAAGCTTAAATACTGTATATCTATCCTCCCGCCTCTCTATATTTCTTAGTGTACGTCAGAGTTAGCGCAACAATCTTGATAACTCGTACCATCACCACCTATTATTATTGGCGACAAGATAGCAAGAGATGTTACAAGAGGGGAGAAAGTTGAGTGGGACAGCAGGTACGTGTGTGTGTGTGTGTGTGTGTGTGTGTGTGTGTGTGTGTGTTTATAATATGTAATAATGATAATAATAATAATAATTAACGGTTTATTGAAAGAACATAACTGGGGAAATGATCTCTTGAGTAACAATTAAAATGAAAATAACGTAAGTGATCCAAATATGATATTTAATAACAGAGGAGAGGGAGAAGGCCATACAATAAGGAATTTCAAAATAGTAACAATACAAAAGAAAGATTGGCTGGGAGTGAACACATTGGTTAATTACGATTTGTTAACAATTTTTATAATGGTTGAGACTGGGCTATTCTTATAATGGTCAATACGTGATCGTATTATATGAGCTGGATGTGGTTGTGGTGTCGAACAGCCATTCGTGGACGATGGATCTCAGATGGAAGCAGGAATCACTGTTGAGGATGGTGCAGAAGCTTCTCCCTAAACTTGCAAATGAAGTCATGGTGATGGTCAGAGAGAGCCGAGAGGGTCAGTGTGTTGAGCGCTTCCTGATATGTGGAGTAGGAAGGGGAGAGAATAATCTTGCATGCCCTCTTTTGCACTTTTTCTAGGTGTTTACGATGTGTGGCATTTAGGGAGGAAGACCAGGTAGGGGAGGCATAGGTGAGCTTGGGAAGTATGAATGTTGAGAAAACACTGAGGAGCTAGGGCGCAGGAACTCCAAGGGACTTGAGTCGGCGGAGGAGGTGGAGACGAAAACTGGTATTACTTTCTGTCTCTTGCTGTACGTGATACTCTTGTTTAGTTAGGTTAGGTTAGGTTAGGTTAGACTAGACACAACATAGTATTTATAACGGGTCAATAGACACAAGTTACCGTGACAACTTGTTCGTGTGAATTGGAATCTGAGTGTAGTTTGTAGTATGTAGTAATTTTCATTCAATTATTTTTTGTGTATTTTTCCTCCTTTAATAATACATTTGTCTATAGTGATTAGGTATCTACATAGAGTTTTTGGTCTTTATATTTTGTTATGGAAAAGCCCAGGTAACGAAAGGGAGGAGGGAGGGAGGGAGGGAGGGAGGGAGGTAGGGTGGTGGAGAGAGAGAGAGGGAAGAGCAAATCAGGGTGAAGCAAATCGACTCTCAAACGAAAGTATCGACTCGACTGACTATAGAAAACAACATGAAACAAAATAACACTAATTACATAGAAATAATTAGAGTCATTAATTGTCGTAAAGTCTTATTACCTGCCAAGTTTATTAACTTACCTGTGTTGTGTCTTCCAGGTATCTTGACTTAGGTGATTATTACACCCACCTTCCCATTACCTCTCCCATAACACTAACCTAACCTAACCTAACCTAACCTAACCTAACCTAACCTAACCTAACCTAACCTAACCTAATCTAGCACAGATAAGTGACCCAAAATTCGCAGGTGTGGAAGGAGGGGAAGCTTAGGTCACCTGTTTGAGCACCTGTAACTGTCAGGACTCCTTAGTTATCATCACTGTAATTGTCTTTAAGGTAACACATTTTTTTTATGTTCAGCAAACAAGATATTAGTGTAAACAATGTGTGGGAGTGACAAGGTATTTTTTTATTGCTTTTTTGGGTGCAGGGAAGTTGGTGATTTTTTATTTGTTTATCAATTTTAATATTTTATTGTAATTATCATGGTTATTGCATTCATCATCATCATCATCATCATTATTCATCATCATCATCATCATCATCATTCATCATCATCATCATCATCATCATCATCATCATCATCATCATCATCAACAATTGTATAATGTCTTGCTGTTCCTCTGTGCTCTATAGATGTAATAGATGAGAGTTGCCCTATACATAGTTACAGGGACTTGATATGGATGAAATCATAAGATCAGAGGATTGGTAGTAAGAGCTTGGGAATTTTTCTTGTGGTGGGCTACAGTCGCCAACCCTCAGCTGTGTTGATGGTACTTTGTTGATCATGACCACATACATAACCTACAAACAGAAAATAACATCACACGGACCATCTACACTGACGGCTCTCTTAACACTGTCTGTGGGAGGGCTGTAAGGGCTGTCATTGTGACTTAGCCTAACGGTAATGTAATAGAGAAAGGAGCTAGAATCAGTAACTGGGCCATACCCTTGTTATTTCAAAATATTGACGATGGAGGCGTCTTTAAGAGCTTGGGGGATCTCCTTTTCCCATATATTCTCCAGGAGAGAGTGGAGATGGCTGGTAAGCAGAGGTCCTCCTGCTTCATACACCTCGGCTGAGATTCCATCAGGCCCTGAGGCTTTGCTATTCTTCATCTGTTTGATGGCAGAAGCTACCTAATCCAGGGATGGAGGATAACTGAGGTGCGTCAGCTCTGGATGCTGAGGGACCTGCTGGGTAGTCAGGACATCCACATCGGTGTTTCGGTTGAGCAGTGAATGGTAGTGCTCTTTCCTGAGCTGACGGATGCCTTTTTCGTCTTTAATTAGGGAGTTACCGTCGAATGAGCGGAGGGGGGCTGCGCCGTGAGTGAGTGGCCCATAAAAGTTTTAGTGGAATTTAAAAAATCGTGCATCTTGTGCTGATCTGCAAGTTTTTGCTTCATTGCTTTATTTTTAAACCAGTCATTCTTTAGTTTGCGAAGTTCGCGCTGGGGTACTAGTTTCTTCTTGCGTAAGGTATCAGTTTGGCCCGAGACTGAGGGTTATTCTGTCAGTCAGTTAAAGCAGCACATTTATCATTGACGAGTACATTGATTGCCGGTTCATTTCATCAAACCAGTCCTGGTGTATTATTTTGATCTGGCCGAGGGTCTCTGCAGGTTTTTGTCATGACAGTGTCGAGAATATCCCATTCGGCACTGGGATTTGAGTTGTTTGTTGTCTGGTTGTTTATCAGCCCATGTTCGAGCTGCTCTCTGAAAGCATGTGTACTGTTCGATCCTCCAGACGCTTATTGTTATAACCTCTTCTGCAGGCTTGATGCCTTCGCTGTTTTCCGGCGATGTAAAATGAGAGCTTGGCTTTGACGAGCCGATGATCAGTGTCACTGTGGTCTGGGTCACTCATTGGTCGGATGATGAGGATATCTCGACGATCTCTTTCTCTGACAATGATATAGTCAATAAAATGCCAGTGTTTGGATCGTAGGTGTTGCCATGATCCCTTGAACTTGTCGGTCTGCCTAAACAAGTTATTGGTGATAGTGAGGTTATGTGCAGCACACTTGTTGAGGAGGAGTAGGCCGTTGGGATTACACTTGCCTAGACAATTTCTCCCTATGGTTCCCTGCCAAATGTCAGCATTAAAGTCACCAAGGAGCACAACCTTATCTTCTTTGGGGATAGAGGTTAGCACTTTGTTGAGGTCGGAGTAAAAAGCCAACTTGATGTTATTCTGTGCATCCAGTGTTGGGGCATGTGCACTCATGAAAAAGGCATGATGTGAGTGATTCAGTGGGACTCGAAGCATCATGAAGCTCTCGATGATCTCGATAGGCATTTCAGTTCGCCCGTGTGGGATGCATTGGCGGATGGCAAAGCCAACTCCATAAATGCGGTTTCTCTCCTCAGCAGGCTTACTAATGGCTGCTATGTCGATGTTATACCTAGCCAGCTCTTTTGCCACAAAGGCGGTTCTTCTATCAGGATGCTCATTTGTGCCAGTATCCAGAAGGGTTCTGACATTCCATGCAGCGACCATAAGAGGTTGTATAGTATGTTTTTGTTTGGATCTGTTTTTATAATTGCGTTTTCGACCGCATAAGGAGGACCTTACTGGGTGCGGTTGCCCAGTCAGGTTGGTTCTTTAGGGCACCTTTTCTATCTCCCTCCCCATGTGGGGTGAGCAGAGTGCTCCTCAAAAGGGCTGCTCAGTCTCACAGACAGGACCGGATTGCACTGCTGCCTAGATCCCAGTGCATAAACGACCATCTTATCTGTGTCGCTCATGTGCAGAGTTATGACCAGAAACCCCCAGCAGTCATCTCTGCCTGTCCCTGTCGCTACTCGTCCGTCGCCATAAGACTTTTTGAGATATAGGGGTTTTGATGATGATGAGAGGAATGATGAACTGGATGATGGCTACGCGCAAGTTGATTTATGTGGTGAGGCAGGAGCGCAGGCTGCAACCACACATCTTGGCTCTCCCTTTTCCTGATCCAGTGGTGCAAGTGTTGCAACGACTGGGGAGAGGCAGAGTTGCAATGGACTGCCGATAGCCCAGTTTGTTGGGGTTCGCCTTAGTAGCCTGTCCATCATGCATTGCCTTCGTCCGCCGGTGTAGTCGTTGGGTTTCCATGTTGGCCACCTCTTCCGCCTATACCGCCGTTGGGGTCTTGTTGGAGCTCTGTAAGCATGTCTGCCTGATGTGGGACTCCACAGCAGATTTTTCGTTTGGGGTTTACTCCCGTAGCCTTATACCTGCCAAGGTTAATCTGTAAGTCAGCGGGGCAATGGTTGGTAGGCGCCAGAACGTGTCCACATGCCAGTGGGCCTATGCGCCGTCCTTCTGGGGCCCACTGCTACTCCTGTATCCCCTGCTGGTTTAGCCTGGGCCTACGAGGCTCCCAGTTACTGTGTGTTGCCACAAGGAGGCACAGCAGGAGTCTTGATGGTGAAGAGGCTGTGTACTGGCAGGGGAAGACTTGTGCAAGTTGCTTCCCTGTTCACCACGAGGGCTAGCCTGCTGCGGTAACTGAAATGAGAGGAAGCAAGCAGTGCTTATACCTGAACACTATCTTAATGTTTCCACACTAGACGCGTTACAACACCATGTGTGTATACACACACACACACACCGTCTAGTATGTGAGGTTATTTTTTCGAGTGACAATAAAATTCCATTTACAAAACTACTTTATTTAGGTACACACAATAATTTGGCTTCTTTGGACAATAGCTGCTAACGGCTTTAACCATGATCTGAAATAGAGAAATAATATGGGTGAAACTTTCAGTTTTTGCCTTGAAAAATGAAAACAATAACAGGACATGTTTCTTATTATATGAAATATCGAAAATAATATGGACCTTAATGATCTTAAAATAAGGAAAAATAATATAACAAACTATTTTTTTTTACTTGAAAATTAATTGAAAAATAATTCGTTGAAGACTATTATGAATTGAAGTTAAGGAAAAAAAATATTATTAAAGTTTTTTATTTGACCTGGAAAATAATACGACTAAGACTTTTATGAATTGAATTTAAGAAATTTTTTTCTGTATGATTTAAAATTCAGTAAAATTATTATAAAAAGAATTAGAAGCTTACTGTATATTGTCTGGTCGAAGGAGCTGAGTGACACAAACACATCCGGGGAGAAGCCGATCCCACAAGCGAACCCACAGTTGTGAAGATATCCATGAACTCTCGGGTCTGTTTCGCCGCGGCTCAGTCCAACACCGTACCCGTAGTTTCCTGTTTGGCCATATCCTCCACCATGGCCAAATCCTCCGTGTCCAATTGTTCCATGGTTAAGGCCGATACTCTGGCCATATGTCCCTGTTTGGTCATATCCACTACCGCCACTTGATTCTTCATGGCCGGTTGCTCCTTGGCCATGTCCACCGCTATGGCCATATGCCGCTCCTGTATAGCTATGTCCATCATGGCCAAACTCTCCGTGACCAACTACCTCATGGCCAAGGACACGACTCTCATCATATGCTCCTGAATGGCCATAATCACCAACTTGACCTGATCCTCCGTGGTCAATTGCTTCATGGTCAAGGCCACCATTGAGGCCATATGCTCCAGTAAGGCCATATCCATCACTATATCCATATGTATTACCATAGGCGTTACCATTACCATAACCACCATACAGACCACCATACCCATAACCACCACCATAGCCATACGTGTTGCCATAACCAGGGCTCCCACCATAAACATTTCCATCACCATAACCACCATACCCATAACCACCACCATAGCCATATACACCACCATAATTATTCCCATGACCATAACCACCATACAGACCACCATATTCATAGCCACCATCACCATAACCATTTACACGACCGTAACCATACCCGACACCATTGCCATACCCATATCCACCATATCCACCCCCATAACCATACATACCACCATACCCAATACCATAATCATACCCAAATCCTTGTCTTTCTTCAGCTTGTTCACCATTACCATTACCATGTTCCTTCTCCCCTTCTCTGTGATCTTTTCCGCTACCATGATCGTCCGTAGTATCGGATTTAACCATACTACCATGACTATCATCAACCCCATGATTATGTCTTTCATCATGGCCATGGTCTTCCTTAATACCATGGGTATGTTTGTGTCTAATACCATGGCCTTGACCTTCCCTAATACCATGGCCATGACCTTCCCTAATACCATGGACAGGATTTTTCCTTCTACCATGGCCATGACCTTCCCTAATACTATGGTCATGACCTTCCCTAATACCATGGTCAGGATTTTTCCTTATGCCATGGCCATGATCTTCCTTTATACCATGGCCATGATCTTCCCTTATACCATGGCTCTGATCTTGCCTTATACCATTGCCATCTTTAACAACATGGCCCCCCAAACTACCATGGTCCTCCCAATCGCCATGGTCGTCTTTTATACCATAATCGGCCTTAATACGCCCCATATCCAAGCGACCATAGCCTTCATTAATGCCATACTCTGCCCTAAGACGTTCATAGTCATGCACACTACTATGGCCATGTCTATCAATCTGGCCTTCTTCAAAACCATGGCCCAAATCAGGCATAGGATGGCCCAGGGTCGTGACCACTAGGAAGACGAATATACAAGCAGCCAATTTCTGTAAAAAAGTAATAATAATAATAATAATAATAATAATAATAATAATAATAATAATAATAACCAAGAAAAATCCTCGACATGTTAAAGGAATTTTTGGTTTAACTAATCTGCTACTCGAACAGGTAACTATTTGTTCATGTAAGTTTAACTAATTATTGGATGACAAGATATGGTTTACTTACAATGGATGGTGCCATGGTGGTGTGTGATGGTGACGGAAGCTGAGGGTTGACTGTATAGATATTGGCCTTCACAGTCACTTATATACCAGACCATAACACTCGGCCTTTGCTCTAAGATTCCCAGGTGTTGTCTCAGGTAATGATATATTTGGGGGGGTCCTTTCTCTACCCCCACACCGCCTCCCCACAAACACTACAGGAGAAAGGAGATCTGAGATGTGGCCGCCATGTGAACCTCCGTCATAACTGTCTTCGTTCCGGATTTTCTTTAAGTAGTATGTTAGTTTTATTATCTAACTAAACACCTATGGAGGCATGGTGTAACTTCCACACCTTGAATCGATTACATCCCATTTATACGAGCATTTGTTTTACGCGATTTTACCTAACCTGACCTAACCTAACCTAACCTAACCTAACCTGACCTGACCTAACCTAACCTGACCTGATCTAACCTAACCTAACATGACCTAACCTAACCTAACTTAAACCCATCATTTAACTAAGATGGTAAAAATCGCACCAACAAGATGATCGTCGAAGCTGGATGACACCCATGATTCATCCCATAGGTTAAGTCGATCAGCTGCAGTGAGGATTCTGTAAGAGTGTTATATCCTTTATATTTTTCTCGCTGGAGGAACTTTTCAGACTCAGGCAGATTATGATAAACAAGAAACTATGGTTCAGGTGGCAGTAATTGTTCTGATCGTATCATCGTCAGCACTAAGTCGAGTTCTCACAGCAGACACACACACTCCAGTCAGCAGCCGCGGGAGAATGACAGCGGCGCCTCTCACTACGGAAGTATAAAGCCAAGTTCCCAGATTCATTTGTCTTCTCTTGGGAACAGAAGGCTGTAAACTGTAGCAATCTGTGTTCCCGAATTAAAAAAAAAAAAAAAAAAAAACCTTACGTTAATTTTTTTCCCCAGCTGAGGATGTGAGAATGTTGATAAAAGGTTAATGATTAAGAAAGTTCTCGCCCAACTCAAGTATTGTGTCTCCTGCGCATGTAGTTCCGCCTACGGTCTCGCAAACAAAGATGGCAGGACCTGACAGGGAAGGGTTGCGTCATGGCTGCTTTCTCGCTACCAACTATCATTATAACTAACTGCAAACAAAATAATAACTATTAATAAATGTACATGAAAAAAATAATCTTACATTGCCTCTCTAGTGGTGGGTAAGGAGTAGAGGGACCTCGTATATAAAGAAGTTTAGGAACAATATAGGTACGGTGGTTAAAATGGTATCGGGAATTACTCTGCATCTTTATCGTAATTACTGGTATTGTTTTAATTAAATGTAGGAGGAAAACTTGACTTAGGAATCTTTGAAGATCTAGTGCAGGGTTTCCCAAGCACTCTCCAGTGTGATCCCATTTAGTGCTGCCGCCTATTCAGTACGAACCCAAGTCATTATTCTCCCCCCTGGTGGCAGAGACTGTCCAAGGGGGCTAACGGGACGAGCTCTAAGGTACAGGTGAGACTCAGCAACAGAGCGGTGTTTATTGTCTTTGTCCTGGCGCACACACACACACACACACACACACACTGGGGAGAGGGAGAGTTGCAATGGACTGCCAATAGTCCAGTTTGTTGGGTATCGCCTTAGTAGCCTGTCCATCAGGCATTGCCTTCGCCCACCGGTGTAGTCGTTGGGTTCCCATGGTGGTCACTGGTCACCTCTTCTGCCTATACCTCCGTTGGGGGTCTTGTTGGAGCTCTGTATGCATGTCTGCCTGATGCGGGGCTCCACCACAGATTTTTCATTCGGGTTTTGTTTCCTGTAGCCTTATACCTACCAAGGTTAATCCACATGGCAGAAGGGCAATGGTTGGTAGGTGCCAGGACGTGTCCACTCGCCTGTGGGTCTATGCGCCTTCCCTCTGGGGCCCACTGCTACTCCGAGATCCCCTGCAAGTCTAGCCTGGGCCCACGAGGCTCCCAGTTACCGTGTGTTGCCACGAGGAGGCACAGCAGGAGTCTTGATGGTGAAGAGGCTGTGTACTGGCAGGGGAAGACTTATGCAAGTTGCTTCCTTGTTCGCCACGAGGGCTAGCCAGCGGCGGCAGCTGAAGGCGAGAGGGAGCACTGACATAATGATGCCACACTAGATGCATTTCACCATGCTGTGTGCAAACACACACACACACACCCACACACACACACACACACACACACACCATTCAGCCATCTTGTTAATATTTATAAATATTATTCATCTTATATTCCGCTAGAAATAGCAGAGGGGAGGGTGGATAGGTGGTGTGATACTTTTGGTCCATCTGTCTGTCTTTCTTTCTGTATGTCTGTCTGTATGTGCGTGTGTGTTCCTGTCAGGACGAGTAGCAACTTTGATTCTTCGTTGGTTTGGTTGTGTTTCATTTGTGCTTAGTTAGTGTTTCTGGTTAGGTTTGAGTTGGTCTCTGAGTTTAGGTGAGAAGTGTGTGAGTGTTGCTGGCACGAGTCACGCAGCAGCTGCAGCGGTGGCCGGTAATAAAGTCACAGGAAAAAAAGTCACAGAAAAAAGTCACAATTTTGGCTAGGAAAAAAAGTCACAGGAAAAAAAGTCACAATTAATTTATGGTGGCCGGTAATAAAGGTTAGGTTAGATTAGGTTAGGTTAGGTTAGGTTACCATCAGTTCTGCACATTCCTTTACTGAAACTGATTGACATATTAACCTTAAAAAATGTGAGAATTCGATAGTTAACTTTTCTTTTTTTCTGTGAATTTTTTACCTGTGACTTTTTTACCTGTGACTTTTTTACCTGTGACTTTTTTACCTGTGACTTTTTTACCTGGATTCGCTGCAGCCTTCGCCGTCCTCGATAATCGTGTAGGGAGGGAGAGTGTTCTCGCTGTATTTTGTCTGGCAACGTTACTAAAGAGTAATGTCTGCAGTGTGGTATTTAAGTTGTTGCTCGATATTAAGTTGAGTTGACTGGATTTTGCAGTTAACGAGTGTGCTGGGGCAGAGGTGGCTGTCCTGGTGACCCGTGTTGGGGCCTGGCTGGGGACTGTCTCTCGTTGTGTGGTGTCAACGGTTTACAAAAAGTGTCATTCCATCAATTGTTAATCAGTTCGGCAGTTACTTATGACGTTCAAGAGTGATAAAAGCTGGTACAATACGTCAGTCTGTGAACTATGATTCTTACGTGTGCAAATAGAACAGTTCCAACTATCGAACGAACCAAGCGGTTGTTTTGGTCTCATTGTTGGGTAAAAATTACTTGTTTGTGTACATATAAATTTATATTATATACATTTATGTTGTTATCATTTTATAGTAAATTAATGTTTATTTCTTTTGGTTTTTGTTTAGCTATACGGCACCACACCTCATATCCGGTCTTCTTATTTTATTACAGTTCTCTTAAGTCCCATGGTCCCATCTAGTGAGTGCGTAAGTCACACACTCAATAACACACTCACACAGTTCCTGTAATCTAATTGTTGTCGGTACTCATTTCACCTGATGATTAAATACCCTGACGCAAACCTAACCTAACCTACACTAATCTTATCTGATCTAACCTAACCTAACCTAACCTAACCTAATCTAACTTAAACTAACCTAACCCAATCTAACCTAACCTAACCTAACCTAACCTAGCCTAACCTAACCTAATCTAACCTAACCATTACCATGACCTCAGCTGATAGACTGTAACATAATCGTGCTAGTCTCTGCGTCAATAATTCCTTTCTTATATTCACTTAACTACTTAGCGAATAACAATGGTGTCTTGTTCCAGTTTCTTATCCACTTAACCTTCAAGTACATAAAGTGGTCATACAAACTCTCTCCAACTGACTCATCCAGTTATAGCACGACAGGTTGATAATGACGACTCCAGGTATCTCAAGAGTGGATCAATTAACTGTTTTGTTGATTTGTGTCATAAAGTTTCATTAATATCAACAATAAATAAGGGAGTAATGGAATTGGATCTCATGTTAAGTTAGGTCAGGTTAAGTTGGGTTAGGTTAGGTCAGGTTAAGTTGGGTTAGGTTAGGTCAGGTTAAGTTGGGTTAGGTTAGGTCAGGTTAAGTTAGGTTAGGTTAGGGTAGGTCAGTTTGGGTTAGGTTAGGTTTAATGATCGCTTAGTCTTCCTGAGTACTGAGGCTTTACTGAGCATTGAGACAACACACCTAACCTAACCTAACCTAACCTAACCTAACCTAACCTAACCTAACCTAACCTAACCTAACTTAACCTAACCTAACCAATAACCTTAGGGAAGTTATAATGTAAATCATCAGGTATAATAATATTCCACGTTGTAATTGAGTGACGATGCTGTTGTCGCCAATATGTAAATAAAGAGATGAATTGATAGACAACTAAATAGACAAATGGAAAAATAGATAAAGAAATAGACAAATAGATAAAATAGACAAAGAAATAGACAAATAGAAAAATAGACAAAGAAATTGACAAATCGAAAAATAGATAAAGAAATAGACAAATAGATAAAATAGACAAAGAAATAGACAGATAGATAAAATAGATAAAGAAATTGACAAATAGATAAAAATAGAAAATTAAATGGATAAACAAATGATATTAAAACGTCTCAGTTCATCATCATAACATGGAAATAAGACAAAGACATTGGTCAAACTCTCAACTTTATTGAAGAACCTCCTAGTCTTCTTCCTCTTCTTCACGAATAAGTAAACAAATAAACAAGTAAACAATAGCGAAGTAAACAGTAAACAAACCTTGTATGACCTTATATTCTCACAAAAATATAATAATTAAAAAAAATAATAATTTGAAAATAATAATAATAATATAATTTCTATTTATACTTTTCATCAGCCAAAAAACTATTACTTTTATATAATTTCTAGATTAATGAAGTTATTTAATTAGTTTTTTTTAATTTTTATGGAAGTTTGTTTACATTAAGAGATAATTAAAGTATTTTAGGTGAGTTTATCGTTTAAAGGGTGCGTAGACAACTGGGAAGACAAGAGACCTTTCCAGACTGGTGTAGACAGGACGGAAGACACTGTTCCTTCATTATTTCTAGACAGAGGAAGACAGATGAGAAGACGGGAAACCTCTTCAATATCTCTTCCTACTTCACGTTTAAACAACTCCTGGAAAAAAAAATATTAAGAAAAAATTGTAATAAAAAAAGAATGATAATATAGGAAAAATATATGACTAAAATTATACTTTATCGTATTATTATATGATATAATAATACTTATAGATGTAAGAAATATTTGAGTAATTTTTTTTTATATACTAATAGAGACGGACAGACAAGGGGAGAGAGAGAGAGAGAGAGAGAAAGAGAGAGAGAGAGAGAGAGAGAGAGAGAGAGAGAGTACTAATCCAAATATAATCAATCAAATACAATAGCAATATACATCACCCTTTTGTATGATTTAACTAACTTGGAAAATACAACAGGTATCATGACATGTAAAGAACGTGTTGATTTTTTTTACAGGTAATATCCATATAACATCTAATTAACCTGTTAGTAAAGTATGCAAGGCTAATAACGTGTTTACTATATCATTATTCGGGTATACACTTATATACATAGTGTGTGGATAAGTATATATGGTAGTATTTGGGTCAATATTGATTTTAATGTAACTATGTTCACGTATAAATAATATTTGTCAGAATACTAAAGTTTCCCATTA